CATCGTTGCCATTCACTTGCTTCTTCAGCGCACCGCTCGTTCCTCTGGATGGGGGGCACATGTAAGCCCTTGGCTCGGTTTGCTTCCCACTCCCCTAATTTCCCACAGCGCGTAAAGGATGTGACTTCAGAGTGTTTGCAGCTGTTGCTGGTTGAGGGAGCCACTGTTTAAATGAACAGTGTATGGGTAGAATTAAGGATGAACAGAGACCAGAGTATGGTTAGCAAAGCATTACTGATTAATTCCGTATCCTTAAATAAGGTCCCTTTCTCAATCAGCTGCAGGGGTGCAAGTGATGGGAGAGGTGGGCCCTGACAAACCACCCACAACAGGCTGTCTTTGTTGGGCAAGTCTGGTAGCCCTTCAACCTCTCCCCACTCCCCAGGGTTGCTTAGAATGCCTTTGGGGCAAGAGCCGCACGGCTCGGGCATCAGCAAGGGAAGGTTATATAAGAGTGAGACTTGGCTACATTGATAGGTCCCTAGTGGGGAGTAGGCAACTAGTTAAGGCAAAGGTGGGAAATGACTAATTGGGGTCAGAGCAGGAAGCTTCTTAGCATTCGCCAAAGCACAGAGAAAATGCATAGCCCCATGAAGAAAATAGGAAAAGACTAGCTTGACTAAGGAAGATTTTGTGTGCTAGTCAAAGGTGTACTTTTTGCCTGTTTGTTTTCTTCTCCTTTTTCCTTCTTTAAAAATAAAATCATCATCCTTCAAAAAGTGCCCTTCATTCACATTTCAGGAGCGTCTGGGGAAATTTGAAATGAGAAGGAGGCAACTTCTCAGCTGGTGTACGAGTGCTGGGTGGGTCAGTGGAGGTGCCGTCCATCAGTCGAGGGGACTCAGAAAATCAGATTCCTGCAGATGGTGATGCTCGTCCTGCGGGGAAATGAGTGGTCTTTGGGGTTTCCTGTCCAGGGGAGAGTCCTCTGGCAGGACAACTGGGCCTGTTTGCAGGGCTAGTCCGCAAGGTGGATGGATGGGCAGATATAGAGGAAAAGTTAGCGTACTGAGAACTTGGGTGTGTACTGGAGATGCCTCCTGGCTCTCTGTCCAGGAAGAATGGGATCAGAAAACCAGATGGGTCTCTGGGGCCCCCACGGCCCCAAATTAATTTGCACTAGGTTCTAGTAGAGCAGAGATTGCCCAGGAAAAGCTATTCCAGGTTTCTGCAAATGTGTACAGTGTGTGCATCAAATGGCACTTTTGGAGAGATGG